CCCAATCCTCCTCGTTCCTTTGCATCTTGAAGTATTTTATATTTAACTTTTGGTTTTTTCCCTTGCCATACAAACTTAGATATATCTTTTTGCCATTGTTTAAATGGTATTATCAGTAGTCATAATGGGTATTGTTTGAAACAAAAACATCATTCTTGACAAAACATTCATTTTTATCACAGAAATTCTGCCCAACAATTGTAATTTCTTCCATCTTAATATGTCCTTCTTGATTTCATTCCATGTCTTAACACAATTATTCTGTATAACTACAATCCATGTTAGTCATAGCCAAGTATTTCACTTTTTTCTCAATCTTAAAACCAGTTGTTTCCATCAATTGGGTTTGTTGTTTCATTTTCATATTCTTTGTTAACATCTTCATCTTTGTTAATTTTAAAAACAGCTAACACCCAAAAATCCTTTAGTTTTTCCATTAATATTTCTATTCCTTCCAGAATAGAAATTCTTCCAAAATTATCACCAGTCATCAGCAAGCATCTATAATTTATATATTTCTCTTTTAATCTTCACTCCAGCAATTCTTTCATCTTGTCTTATATCTCTATTCAATACTTCCAAAGATAAAATAAATGGCTATGGTGACAAGGGGCATCCTTGTCTAGTCCCTTTCTGTATCTCACAGCATTTTGTTAATTCCCCATTCACAATTATCTGTGCCTTTTGCGATTGATTTTACCCATTTAATAAAATTCCCACCAAATTCTACAGCAAATCCCTTTTTCCAATTATGGTTTAAGACAAGCCATTATTTGTTGATTTATAGCAGAAGCAGAAACTGAGGTTTGCTAGTTCAGTCATAATAGTAAAGTACATTTTGCTTCAAACACAGAAAATATTAATCAAAGCTTAACTATCTTCCAAAGCAGAAGATCCTTAGATAGAATTTGTAAACCAACCCTCCTAAACTGGCAAATTTACCACTCAGTGTTGTAAGTACCAAACAAAACTCTCCTGAAAATCTCCATAGAAAAATGTATCTAGGCATGAAATGAATGTAGACAAATAACTTTAAAAACTCTAATTGTTTAAGCTATATGACAGCACACTTACAGAAACGGGCCTTCTACAAAGTAGTCACAGTTTTGTCTAATTTGTCCACTTAAATATATATATGTATGTATGTATGTTCTACATCCAAATAATAAATGTCAATTTATTAACTCCAGAATTATTCTAGATATGTTTGCTCAAAGTAATACATTTACACCGTATTAACTGTATGTTGAGACAGTAGCCTAGTCCTAACTAATCATTACCGTTAACAGACTGGAATATATCCACAGAAAGAAATATAAATAACCAGAGTTATATTCTGTCTGCCATCCCTGAAAAGGAAAAACATGCAGGAAAACACTTGTTAAATTGTTTTGAAAGTGTTTGACACTCACCCTAATTCGTTCTGGTTTACTTACAAGGAAAGACATGGAATCCACACTTGATAATGCTACTCCACAGGCATGAAATTTTTAAAGTGACCTAATAGAAAAAGCAAGAAAGGTTATCTCAAAAAGCTGAAAACAAATAAACATTTCTACCAAAGTTCTCACCAGCTTGCTTCATTTAGCTAAGTAAATTAGCTGTATCAGGTGAACAGGATAGTTTGTACACCAAAAAAAACCAAAAAACAAAGCAAAACAAAAAGCAAAACACCAAGTAGAGCGCAATTATGGAAAGATACATTCTCCTCAATTGTAAAGTTCACCGAACACCTTAGAGGAGTTAAAAAACAACAACAACACAAACATGGTGACTTTCATTACATTTGTATTATTTACATTATTGCCCGTAATGGGAGAAGAGGGCCACAGGTGCATTCTCCCTAAGCCAACCTATTGAGAGAAAGGTTGTAGACTTAAAATCTATTCAAATTGCAAACCCATGGCCTATAAATAATGGCTGAAGAGAGTTAAAGATTATGATGGAAGCCTTTATTATGCCAGGATAGCTCAAGATATACTGGTGCACTATCAGCCATCTGTTGGCCTATCATCATTATTGATTCAACTCCACCAGAACTGGATTTAACACAGACTGGAGTGAAATTCTTTCTTTTCTCAAATATTGCTCTCACCCTCAGTGTAACATTAAACTAACTTGAGAAGCAGTTTAAAATCAAACTTCTTTCCAACAGAATTCGTAGTAAATCAGTACCTAACTGCAGCATATCCACAACGGCCTGAAAGAGAACTCACAGCTTAGGCAACAGGAACTGCAGTGCTGCTGGTTTCTGCTGCTTCGTATTGTCCAAAAGAATAAACAACCCAGTCTCTGAACATATATACAGGAACATTTTAACAATAGTTGATTCTTTTAGAATCCTGTGAATAGCAACTGTCATGACATTCTTTCACTGGAGATTTTTTAAAAAAGGACAACAGAGGTAAACAAAAATAATTTCAAAAGACTTATCAATTATTTTGCATGTTTCTTCAGTGACCAAGCTGAAAACAGTGCTAAAGGCTAAGACTGACATGCTTAACCAGATCAGGGTTATTTTGTGTATCTCAGCATGTGAACACAGTCCATTTGACTAATTTATGGTTCAATGAATTGTGCAAACTTTAAAAAACTCAGTAATTAGGTTAAATGTGTTGTGTGAACTCAGCCATTACATTTAGGTTTTTTTTCCAATAAATCATCAAGAAACAAACACGATAGAAATGTAAAGCATAAAGAAAAAAAAGCTAATCCCAGATTGCAGGATTGTTCCTATAATCTGGAAAGGGTTGTTTTGTTTTGAAGGGGAATAACAAAGTAACATTTGCGGCGGCCTCAGACGTTTTTAGAATAGACCAATTCGTGGAGGGCGATCCGCTGACAGCTAACAGCTATAACGACAAATAAAAGAAGTCCCACAGTCGGAAGGAAAAAACGGTCTCTGCCACCCCGGCCACCAACGCCGCGTCTCAAGGTGGTCATTGTTGTGATCCGAGACTCAGGGAGCCCAGTTGCCCCAGCCAGGCAATGGATGTATTCTCCGTTCAGCAGCGGCCACGGAGATGCTTTTAATGCCAACGCTGTTTTATGCCTCCGGACAAGCACACAGACATGTAAGCTCTATTAGTGTAATATGAGATATCTCACTCAGACAGGCGGCCTCCTCTAAAGAGCTCCGGAATACCGCGTCCAGAGAGAAGCAACGCGGAACAGGGACAGATATACGTTTGAAAAGAAAATTGCGCGAGACTGGGAAGATCGCGAGGCCTCCCCTCTCTTAGCCCAACCTCCGCAATGCACACGAAGCCCGACCCCCCTCGGCTCCGAGAGATTGCCCCGGCAACCTGGAGAGACGCGGGTCGCCTGCGCGCGCACCTGCTTGTGGAAAGGAGCAAGTCGTTGTTCTTCGAGGTCAACTCCGCCTCCAGGAGCCCTTCCTCCCCTCAGGCCAATCCTCGCAGCCCAGGCTTGAAGGCGGGAAGAGAATCGGAACCTCGACAAGCTCTGAGGCGGGGCGGCCAGAGAGGGAGAGTCCGAGCCAACATCCAATTGCTTGAAGGTGGGACGTCCCGGTTCTGGAAAATCTTCAGAAAACAGCAAGATACATCTTAGCTTCTAACCTAGGTTTCTTTCAGGCGAGAGAAGGTAGCAAGAAAGATAAGATTTCGTCTTTGTTTCTTACGGGAAACATTTTCAACTCATTCTTGCATATTTTGAGCAATTGATCTGTCCTGTGCTGATATATTCTGCGTGAAAAACACGGATATATTCAGCTCTTCACCAGGCAAGTTAATAAACAAGAGTAGGAAGAAGTGAACTTTGTAAAACAAGGCGAAGATTAAGCGACATCGTCTGCGCAGCGCCTGTCTAAAATGGAGTTTTGGACTATGTGAAAAGTCACTGTTAGATGTTGCTGATATCAGGGCTCTTCTCTACCTGGTAATATGCTTTCGTTCTGTCCAAAGCAAAGTGGAAAACTGCTGCTTCCACAGAGATCTATTTGCTGCACCTCGAAAACGAGTCCTGCACAGTTGTTGCTCTTACATGAAGGCGGGGGGAGAGGGCCTGCCGCTGCTGGGGAATGTGCGGGGAAGGGGGTTCCTCTTTCCTTCCCTTTCTCTTCCACCCTCCCCAAATGCTAATCCCTGCCCTTACCGTGCTTGCTGTGATGGAAAGAAGTGGAGGTAAATGAGAGCAACGTCGACTTTGGAATACTTTCCAGGGGGTCAGTATTCCTAGTGGAGTCAAATTAAGAAAAAAACTTGGCTTCTCTCCATTAGCCAAAGGACAAATGGCACTGGAGGGGGAGTTCCTGCAAGCCTGCTGCACCTCTGCAGGTTCCCAGCCACTTTCCTTCTCATGTTGGCTTATACAGAAGCTTGTTTTGTTTTCCATTGAAAAACACTACTTTCCCCTCTGGTCTTTTATCTGGCCTCAGCAGTAGGCTGGCCCCAAGGAGGAGGCTCCAGTGTCTTTAGTGACCAATAAAAAGACCAACTTGGATCCAGGGTAAGGGCGCAGTGTGGATGACCCCTTAATCTTCAGGGGCACAACAACTGTTTGCTGCTTCCACCTATGTCTGAGAATATAAAGACCAAGGTCTCCCATTTTAACCTGCACAGCAGGAAATAGAAACAAATATTAGTTTTACAAAAACTGACAATTTTGGCTGGTGCGTTAGATATGTGAATAAGCCAAATTGGGTAGAATTCCTTAGCAGTTGGAAGGAATTGGCTCCTCAAAATAAAAAACAGAAATGTAATGTAAAATAATAGAAACTTTGAAAGTCTGCTTAAAGTATATCATTTGTACAAATCACTACATTTGGCTGTAACATTTCAGCTATTTTAATACAATATACAACCGATACAACCGATTCTTCATGTACATTTTGTTCTGTTTTAGAATACTCAAACACACATTTGCAGTTCTCATGAAGTCAATATGAGTGATATAAACTTCATTCACATAATTGACTAGCATATGAACTCTTGCCTGGTCAAGCTAACATCTTCTCACCATTTCCTGTTTTTCCTGCAAAAGCTGTTCCCTGCCTCTGCATTGAGAGGCTCAGGAGATACTGTAAAGAGCATGCAAGGTTTTCCTTTAACAAGGTAACGAGCCTTTCCGCTCTTGGTAACCACAAACCGGTTTCCCATGTTCTGCTTGAGAAATGGAAATCACCCCTTGTTCCCACATGACTATCCCTATCCCAGCACATCTGTTTTGACTGACACAAGTAACAGTAACTAATTACTGTATCCAGTGCCCCTTCCCCGTATTGGATGGGGCTACAAACTACATGCTTTTTAAAAGATCCTCAAGCACCAGACTTAAGCCATGGCACATGACTTACCTCTCCCACCAATGTCTGTCACAGCAGATCAAGAGAGGATCTCCCCTACATGAGTATACCAGATTTATCAATAAAACTCTGTATACTGCATTCATTCTGCCAACTGTTACTCATTCTTCAGGATCCTGCCTGAGGCCATAGCCAGCAACAAAGAGGCATGCCTGAATACAATTTGAGTAATGGAGAGCAAATCTTTTTCCTATACCTCTAATTTACAGGGAGCAGACCAAAAAAAAAAAAAAAGCAAGAACTTGTCAAGAACTCTTATCTAATTTTCCTTTAAACTTTTGGGAATCAGCAATAGTTTTGGGACATTTAGGTACAATGGGGCAAAAAAGTATTTAGTCAGCCACCAATTGTGCAAGTTCTCCCAATTGATTTGCAAATAAATTCTTTAAAAATCAGACAATGTGATTTTCTGGATTTTTTCCCCCATTTTGTCTCTCATAGTTG